AGCTCACTAACGAGCTCGGGCACCCCAATTTTTTTCCAGTCGTTTTAATCAACTAATCATTAGCTTTGCGTGAGAAAAGACTGATCTGATTTCTATCGCCGAAAATTGAAGAAATAAGGAAAATAGCAGCTGCAGTGTAGTCTTTTCTATTTAGAGTTTGATAGGCGTGGCAAGCAATTTGGATCCAATATGTTAACAAGGATTCAGCTCTCTGTCAAAATCAAACTTAAAAAGTTTAGTTGTGCCCGGCACAAGTATTGAATGTAGTTTGAGGACCTTTGAGGTGTGTTTTCATGAGTCTGGTCTCACAAAGATTTTACAATAACTTAGAATGCGTTCTTGTAATAAGCATTAAATAATGCTAAAATGGGACATTTTCAATGCCTCACTGCTCCTTAACGAGCATGGGCACTCCCGCCCCTTGTTTATTTTATAACTAAAGTTTTCATATGATAAATATTCGATGGACAAAGTTTGAGCGGAGAATTACCTTAAAATAACTAGAATGCTGCATGAAACATATTTACGCACATTGTTATCCTTTATAAGTTAACGATTATACTTTAAGTACCTGGTAACGGTAGGAAGAAACCACAGCAACTTGTTTCAGATCTTTTGGACCCCATTCAGCGCCAGGCCACGAATCGGTGAGCTCTTTGACTCGCTTTACCACTTCATTGACTTCAGCCAAGTTGCGATATGAGGAGTGGCTACGTTCAATCTCTTCCTTGCCAAGAGCAGAATAAAACACAAGTGGTCCAAGTAGAGGGTGTAAAGGTTGTTTGCTACCAGAAGAAAGCTTGCCACCGTAAAACATGTCGGACGAGAACTTGAGAACCTGCTCGTTTGAGCAGTAGTTCTGTGTTAATAAAATGAGATTTGGATCCAGCGTTTTCTCTTTTCGCCGCTCCTTGTAATCGTGAAAGAGCCTTTTTTGTAAGGAAATTTGGTATCCCCACTTCACTGCTTGTGGGGAAAACACATCAGGACTCATCTAAGGGATAACGAAGAGGAAAATAAGCGACACGAAGAACAAGATTTTCTGCGCTTTACAAAAATCTCACTTTCAGTGTAATATATAGATTTAGGCCAGCCTAAAAGCGTAGCTCCTGGGCCGGGTTGTTCAAAGCCAGGTTAAGCTAACCCAGAAAAAGATAAAATTTTGATTTGAGTTTTGTAACTTTGCGGTGAGGTTTCTGTCTATTGTTTGGCCTTCTGTTCTGAGTTTTAATAATCACCATATACACATGCAAAACAAGACAGCAAAAAACATTTGTATAGAAGAAAAAGTTATAATTCGATTAACTTTAATCCCGGGTTAGCGTAAACCGGCTTCTGAACAATCCTGCCCTGTTTAAAACAAGCTAACCCAATATGAGCCCGCGATCCAATCGATAACCAGCACTTGGTCAACGGTCAACTTCAAAAAAACACGTGACCTCGAGGAGCTGTTAACTTCAGCCCACGATATGGTCACGTGATAATGGTCAGCGGATACCTTGTTTTGACAGGTGTCAATTGATCATAACATGGATGTCCAATATCAA